CCACTTTTGTTCTTGGACCTACCCCAAAAAGTGGCCGGAATCCTACCCTCAAAACCGGCTGAAACTTAAGTTGAAAATCGAACGCTCTACGCTTAAAATTTTTGAAATCCTACCCAACCAGCAGCTAAGTTACGAAAAAATAGCTGGAAAACCATACATCACTCGTCTGATTTGGTGGAGAATCGAGGGAGAACGAGCGGTGAGAAAATCTGTCAAAACCGGCTCGATTTTCTGCGTTTTCCGGTGGTTGCTGGCGGCGGTAATGGCTGAGCTTGGTCGGACTTGGAAGAGGAAGCGGCGGTGGTTTGATTGGGTCCGGTCTCGTCAGCCGGAGTGGAGTGTGGCAGTGGTTATGGAGATTTGAAGGAGACGGCTGGAGAAGGGGTGCACGGGAGAGAAGAAGAAATTGGGGGAGAAGAGAGAAAAGCTGAATTTTTTTAAAAAATCTGGCTTGGAAAATTACCATTTTAACCCTTGAAGTATTTTGACCGTATTTTCTTCGTTATAACTCCAAATCGAACTCATTACGTGTCTACGGACTCGTTTTGTCGCGCTCTACGCAACCGTGTAAACAAAATTTCAAAATTCTTCTTCGGTTAAAAAGTCAACTTTTCTTTAATAACTTAGTCCAAGGGCAAAATTGTCCTTTCTCCTTAGTAAACTAATAGTTAAATATTAATTAAGGTTTGGGTCGTTACTCGTTCGATGGTTGTTTGAACCAACAAATAACACTAGAGGCTTGTCATACATATTGATTTTGTATATGTTGTCGAATATGAGAACGTCTTTAGAGCCAACATAATCCAAAAGTGAAGTACAGCCCCTCCAAAACAAGTTAGCAAGCCTATTCTCATCATCTACACTGAACTTACAAAAAAAATTCAAGATCCACTGACGCTTTCGCTTTCATGTAGGCAAGTGTAGCTTCAGTGTTGCCATCTAACAATATTTCTCTACATGATGCATCAAACTTCTTCCTTAAGGATCCAAGTCCTCAGCTCATGAGTTGATGGAGGCTTAAATCCTACACCATATGTGGCAATCTCTTCCACCATAGGTAGCCAAAATGGATCATTTACATATTAAATGGGAGTGCTCTAGAGAAGAAAAAATGACCAATCTTTCAACAACTTTCCTTTCTTTCTTCTTGTTTGTATGCTGAATTTAATGTACTTTGCCAAACTTATAAAGTGACAAATCTATTCATTGGTCCTTTTGATTTAGGTTGTACTCTAAGAGTCTCATCAACTGCAACACTCCTAGTACCGGGGATTCCATATTCTTCATCCAATGAAGTTTCCATACTCTGAGCCCTTTCTCATGATGGACCATCCCCAATCTCTCTAAGCATTTCATTTTTCTTTCTTTTTTCAAGTTGAAAATTTTTCAAAGTTGCTACACACTCTTTTTTTACATGCTCAGGAACTTTCTTACATGGTTGTATACCATGATGAGTTTGACCCAAATGATGCTTAAGTCTAGAAATTCCTCCACTGCATCTTCGATCACAAAATGTGCATTTTAAGTATTTTTCCCCTCTATTTCTTTTGCATACTTCCACACAGGATCTTTTCGATTCATAACTATAAAACAACACCATTAATATTTCTAAGATACAAGTATGATGCATGTACGTCAAATTTCTACTATATCACATAAACGAATAAGATAACTAATATATTGAAAAAAAAATTGAAAAAAAATTATACGAAACTTCAAATTACAGTTGCGAAGAATTAGAGAGAAAAATAAAATGGCTTACTTGTAATCGAAAGATGAAGAAAATTCTTGAAATTGATGAAGATTATATAGTAAGAGTAGAAATTAGGGTTGTACTATACAATATATATATATATATATATAAGTCCATGTGTAAATATATTAATTTAAAAAAGGAAAAAAAAAAAGGTAAATAGAATAAAGCTACAGCCCTATGGAGTTGGAAAAGGCAAGAAAGTTATTAATTCTTCTTGCCTTAAGTTTATTACAATAAAGGTAAGTAAAAAAAACACAGAAACTTGCATTTTTTTTCCCTTTCTAAAACACTCCAAGTGAAACGACGTCGTTTAATTTAAAGTTTTTTTTAAAACACTACAATCGAAATGACGTCGTTTCATTACAATAAACCCAGAAAAAAAAAAAAAAAAAAAAAAAACACCGCGAGAGCTCTTCCCCGCAGAGTCGCAGCCAATTTGCAGACTCGCAAAATTTTTTCCGGTTCAGAAGTGTCCAGATCTGGCGCGCCTCTTGGCCACGCCTTGCAACGTCTCCTCACGCCTTCCCCGCTCTAAACGTGCAACTCGCGAAACAGCCGACCGCCTCGGGCGACTTCCTGCCGCCTCTCTCCGACGCGCTCGCCGACGCGCGCGAAGGCATGCCTTTGAAAACTCTGCTCAGGAGCTTTCTGACACTTCCCCAGATATGCAGTACAAGGATACTCAAGTGAGCTATGTTTTGCATTCCCATTTAATATCAGAGCTTAGAGACCTAGGATTTTCATCTTATTATCTCATAGTATGGCTAAGGACAACAATCAATTCTTCTTTAATTGTATACATGTGTCTTTGTGTTCTAATTTTTACATTTTTTTCTACCATGTGCTAATCATCAGGTTTCAGTGCCTCCCCGTGCATCCGATCCTGGCTGGGCTCATGGTATTATGGTGAATGGAGGTCGCCAGAAGATTAAGTGCAAATACTGCCATAAAGTAATGCTTGGGGGTGGAATTTCCAGACTAAAACAGCATTTGGCTGGGGAAAGGGGGAATGTAGCTCCGTGTGAGGAAGTACCTGAAGAAGTTAAAGTGCAGATTCAACAACATCTTGGTTTTAAAGTACTGGAGAAGCTTAAAAAACAGAAAGGATTAAGTAATAGCAAGGATTCCGCACCCTACTTGCAGTATAGGGAAGAAGGAGAAAATGAAGATGGAATGAGAACTCAAAAGACCGTTTGCACACGAGGCAAGCGAAGGAGAAGGGAAAAAGAGGCTATGGAATGCATTTCAAATCAAATGAAGAAGCACAAAAAACATTCTTTCCCTGCTGCAACAACTATTGTTGCTCAACCTTTACATCAGAGTTTTGCTTCTCAAGAGATCATAGCCCAAGCTGATTTGGCTGTTGCAAGATTTATGTATGAATCCGGTATACCATTCACTGCTGCGAATTCGCATTTTTATCAACAGATGGCTGATGCCATTGCTGCTGCAGGACCTGGCTATAAGATGCCTTCTTATCATGCTTTGAGGGGAAAACTGTTGAACAAAAGCGTTCAGGATGCAGAAGAATATGAAGAGGAACTCAGAAAATCTTGGGATGTGACTGGGTGTTCTGTCATGGTTGATAGGTGGGTGGATAAAACTGGTAATTCAGTTATAAACTTCTTTGTATACTGTCCTAAAGGCACTCTGTTCCTCAAATCTGCAGATGCATCAGACATTTCAGAATGTCCAGATGCACTTCTTAATTTATTTGACTGCGTTGTTCAAGAAGTTGGGCATAAGAGGATTGTTAATTTTGTCACAGATGCTTCAGCCAGTTGTAAAGCTGCAAGAAAACTTCTAATGGAGAAATATAAAACCTTTTTCTGTAGTACGTGTGGTGGATATGGTATTGAATTAATGCTTGAGGAAATTGGAAAAATGAATGAAGTTGAAGAGGTCTTGGCAAAGGCAAAAAAGATTACCCAATTTATATACAACAGTGCTTGGATGCTTAATCTAGTGAGGAGGAAAACAGGTGGAAGAGACATAGTCCAGCTTGCAAGCACAAGATTTGCTTCCACCTTCCTGACACTACAGAATATGGTAGCTTTGAAGCACCGGCTCAAAAAGATATTTGCCAGTGCTGCTTGGATGCATTCAACCTTCTCCAAGCAAAAGGCTGGACTTGAGCTGGCAGAGATTATTGCGGACCAACTTTTCTGGTCACTGTGTGATCAAATTCTGAAGGTGACTAAGCCCCTACTTTCTGTTTTTCAGCTTATGGACTGCGAGGAGAAGCCATCTGTTGGCTATTTGTATGATGCAATGGAAAAAGCAAAGAAAAGTATAATTGTGTCATTTGACAATAAGGAATCTGACTACGTGCCATATCTGGAGATTATTGATCACATTTGGCAAGAGGAGCTTCATAGTCCCCTTCATGCAGCTGCATACTATCTCAACCCATCTATATTTTATAACCCTAGCTTTTCTACTAACAAAGTCATCCAGAAGGGATTGCTGGACTGTATTGAAACCTTAGAGCCTAACTTAACAGCTCAAGTTGTGATTACGAGCAATATAAATTTCTACGAGGAAGCTGTAGGGGATTTTGGTCGACCTGTCGCATTACGTTGTCGAGAATCATTGGCCCCAGGTCAAAATGATTTTCATTGTTTCCAAGTTTCCAGATTCTTTTTGGGTACAGTGTAAGCATTAAACTATTTGTGTTGTTCTGCAGCTACTTGGTGGTCACTGTATGCAGCAGATTATCCCGATCTCCAACGATTAGCTGTCAGGATACTAAGTCAAACTTGCAGCATTATTCGATATAAGCGGAGTAGGACCATGTTTGAACGTATGTGCTCAAAGAAAAAGAACCGATTGGAGCAGCAAAGGTTCAACCACCTTGCATTTGTTCATTATAACTTGCACCTTCAACATAGGTAAGTTTTTCCATCCTCAGTAACTTCTTTTGATATTCATAAGATATGTCATAGCCGGGAGTTACTCTCTTATCTCTACTAGCATTTCTTTAAATATGTTTATGTATTTTTTATGCCAAGGTTGCACAAGATAGAGTAAATCTTAGTGGCACGTAGGTCCTCGTGTATACTCCTGTAGTTCAGGGATAAATTCCAATGAAAATGGACCTATGTTAATTTATCCTAGAATAACTGCCAGAGTTATTGTGTCAGTTATCTGCTTTTCTTTTCAATTAAAAGTCCTTGTGATGCACTCTGAAGCTCTTGAGGAAGGATAATGAATGCAGTCAAAATGTATCCTGGGACTAGCTAGTCTTCTGTTTCATTGGATAAGGATATAATTTCATATTTAAGCATGAAAATATGACTTTGGGGGAGACATGCTATTTTGTGAGTACAAGAATTCCAAAATTAATTGAATGGAAATGTATATGTTTTGTTGGGATAAACTCGAATTTGCTTTAGTTTCCTCTATCAAAGCCATATGTTCCTAAGGGTAATCTAGCTTAAGATAATTATTTTGGGTCTTAGAATCTTTGCTAGGTGTTGAGTGGGACTGTGGGACTCGTTGTTATGAGCTTGAAGGAAGTAGTTGTTCCTAAGAGAAGGTGGTACTGTATAGGATTCTAGATTGAACATATCAGAGACTTGATAGATAAATGTGAGAGTGAGGCACTTCCAGACGGAGACTATAATGAATGCATTTAAGGAAAATGAGAGTTGTGGGCCTCTCGGTCTCGGTCATTGATGTAGTCACTTTCATAAAAGGTCATGGAAGAGGGGATGCCCATTCCTGCATTGTCCCTCATTTTTAATTGGCAAGCCAATGCCCAAGAAGCTTTCCCTGTGCTCTCTCTCAAAGTTTCCATATGTATTTTGGTCAAGGAACACATTCTGTTATTAAAAGAAAAAAAAAAAAGAGTTTCCTCCATTTGGTGAAAAAAGTGCATCTGTCCATTGAGCCCTTGATGGCTGTGTGAGTTTTGGTTCCTTCCCAATCCATGATAAGACTATGTTAAGGCATTGTTCAGTGCTATGCAGCAGTATATGAAAAGTAGCATGTTACTTTATGTTGCTGACAATATATGACTTGTAAGGCTGTTATTCTATAAAACTTTGCTATGTTGGACACCAACGGTACAAATTTAAGACTAAGGAGTGCAGAATTTGAAAGGTGTTGTGCATTTTTGTAAAGAATTTTACACATGATTATTAGTTTCATAATTAATTATATAGCTAGATGCTAGTTTCATGATTATTATCCTAATATAGCTAGATGGATTTTTAAATTAAAGCAAATATGTATTTATTGACTTTTCTTCTGTCTGGACTTTTGGAAGTTGACAGTATTGACACAAAACACTTGTGTTCTTGTTTGCGAATCATAACAGAGTTTTCTTACGTCCTCGTTGAATAAATATTAAATATAATTTCTAGAAGCTGTTGACTTGTTAGTTCAGGAATCAGAATGCCTACTCTTTTGTGAACTGTTTTGCATAGTGTAATCTAGTCGCCCTAGTCATGTGTTTTTTTTTCTTTTACAGAGGAATTGTTTAGTGTCTTGACTGTAGCTAAGTAGCATCTTTTTTCTTTTAATGAACAAAAAACAAGTGCATTTTATACATATTATTTACTAATAAGTGATTTAATGCATTCAAATTCTTCCCTAGTTCCCATTAACCCAGATTAAGTCAATTTGGCTGACCCAGTTCAACAATTTTGTGAAATATTCCTTAAACTTAGTATTACACGTTTACAAATTTATATGTGTTAGCAAAATAAATTATTATTTTTCTTTGGATAATAAGGAGGAATTTTGAAATTCCACTGGCTAATTGGTAACGTTTGTGAGCCTTTAACTGTTCCCATTCTTCATCAGCCTCAACTCTTTTCCTTTTTATTTATTTGTTCTTTCTCGTTTTTTGTTTATTGGAAGCAGGCGTTCTGAAGCAAGTAAAGCCATTTATACAAGAGGTACACTCGATCCTATATGCTTAGAAGCTATCGATGCCAACATGGGAGATTGGGTGGAAGATCTGGGAGCTATTGGCAGCGATGGCCTAAGCTGGATGGACGTGACAGTCCCTGGTGAGTGGAAATTTTTGAATCATAGAGTAGAGAATATGGATGACTGTAATGACAGTACAGATGATAGGGGTAGTGATGATGGGAGAGGTGTGGACACAAATGATGACATGTAGTATAGAATATCACAATGGTTGTAATGACTGTACAGATTACTCTGCTAGTTGGTGGCATTAGTTTCTTTCCTTATATTCGAGTATGAATTGCTGGATATAACGGATGTTAATATGAATTAACAGAACTGTTGAGTTTCATTGAATCATTTGACTGATGCAGCAGTGTGCTACGAAACGGAGAACCCTGCCTTGAACATAAAATTATAAAAATAAATAAAATAAAAAATGTTTACAGGGGTGGGTAGTGAGTTGTGTCAATCAGTATAGTCTAGAGATGAACCATCCCCAAAATGATCATATATCAACGTCTTGAATATGGTTTAGCTAGGTGACTAGGTCGTGAGCATGAATGGAGTTGCTCTTTAGCAGGAACTATTATTATCCTTTTTCTGTATATCTTGTATCAAATCAAATTTTTTGAATATTTAGGATCACAATTAAAGACATTCTGTCTTCATTTTGTGCTATAACTTACAGTATGTATACTTAATACGTTAATAAATCTTGTAGTGTACGGATTACGAATCTGTACTCGGCAACTCGATCTTGGTGACTGAAACATAATTTTTAAGTTTCCAGGAAAAGAAAAGAGGGAAAAGGGAATTTCCAAAATCTGTTTTTATTAACTTGGGACAAGAACTTGATGAATCAATGATAGCTTTTTAGTTATTACTGTCATAAAGGTCAGGCCGCAGGAAGAGAGCAGAACCTTGATTTCAAAAAATTTCTTTTGTGCGTCTTGCCAAGGTTCTCTTCAATGGTATGAGAGTAAATATTTAAAAGGAAATCTCACGATCTTCCTTTCTTTGCTTGGTATGCAGATGCCACTTTTGTTCTTTCTTTGTATGGAAAACACAGGTTAGATTTTTACAGGTAAATCATAAATAGTTCAGATATAGTGTAAGGTCCAAAATAGTCGTGGATCATAGATATTGTTATTAGCACTCCAAAATAGTCATCTTTCGCTCCTCTCCCTTACTTTTTCATTAGGATGGAGCGAGTGATGACTATTTTAGAGTGCCAATAACAGCTCTATATTCTTTGGTGGTAACATTAAGACATATATCTTGAATGGCTGGCAAATAATGCTAACAGAAGATTTAAAATTTGTGCCTTGGCTGCATGTGGTGGATTGGTTATCTTTTTGGTTTTAAATAAAATCATCCTTTTTTGTAAATATAAAAAACTTCTCAGACATTAAAATATAAAAAAATAAAATAAAAAGTACCGGGGATTTGGTTTTCTCATTGCTGCTACTGAAAGAAAAGTACTACCTTGGATTTCGATTTTGTTTAGTCTGGAAGTAAAAGTGACAAAGCTCCTAATTTCCATGGCAGAAGTTAGCATTTATTTTCAGCACTTTGGTCATTGGTCTTCTATTGCCTATAGCATATATGTCCAAAGAAAGAAGGAAATTAACTTCCAGAATTTAGTGAAAAAGTTGATCGCCGTTGTGGATGATGGGAGAAGCTATAATGGTCGAAGAGAGGAGAGGACTACATCTTGGAGAGAGCTGTCTCTCTGCATGGCAGCCTTGAACTCATCAAAGGTAACTTGTCCATCACTGTTTGCATCCATGCGATCAAATATTTCATCCAATTTCCCAGGTTCAGTGATATCAGCTGGAAGGCAGTCATCTGGTAAAGCCTGCTCAATGTAATTTTATTTGGTCATGATCTTATTTGAAACTAATCAAGCAAGCAAGCTATACCAAGTGAGATGAATTGAGAGGCATTACCCTGAGCATAGATGCCACTTCTTCTTTACTGATGCATCCAGACCGATCCGTATCGTACATCTGCTTGCAAAATCAAAAGAGTGACAATTAGCATAGGGTTCATGAATAATGATAGTGAAGAAGGCAGAGCAAGAGAGAAGAAAATTTGGATTACAAAAACTTTATGACGATGAAACTAGTAGAAAGATTTAACCGAAACACTCCCTAGGTTCTTTAATTTGGCCAGGAAGGTTTAATTTCCTCAGGAAGCTTCATTATGAGTCAAAATTAGTTCGGTTAGAGTGAGTTTTTGTTCATGTACTTGTACTAGATGAAAACACACCTGGAAGCACAGGCGGAGTGCATCATCTCCTTGTGAATTCTTGAGACTAGAGAACCCACAGAGGATCTCTCGCATGTCAACTGTTCCGTCACGGTTGTTGTCGAATAGGTCAAAGATCCGGGGTGCCAGAGGGATTAATGACGACATGTTCATTGCTTTCAGCACCTCCTCAAATTCAGAAAGAGTAGCATTGTCACCTTTTACACATCTGCACTTTGCCAAATTGGTATTCTTATCAGAATATATATGCACTGGCTCACCAGAGAACCTAGGATTGGTTAAGTGATCCACTTAAAGAGAAGGCCCATTGGTTATCTTCATAAGCATGATTAGTTAATCATTAAACTGAACTTGTTATGTAGCTGATGTGCTACAATTGTCTATGCCTGGCCTGCATTTTATCACCATATTCAGAGACTTAGTAAGGTGCAAGAATCTGTTTTGACTACTCACATTTTCTTGAAATGTAAACTCAGTTTCTGGATTTCATCCGGTTTAAGGTCGTGGGAACCTAGTAGTGATTTCAGCTTCTTTGTCCTTAAGAAAATCGAGCTGGTCCACACACTAGCTATTGCTGCAGCACGGAGTTTTCGCCGAGCATTAAAACTCTGCAATCGTGACACAATCTCAGCATCCATTTGATCTTCTCTGGCTGAAAGACCTACAACCCATGGATGGTCCAGAAGCTGTTTAACACAAGAACCAAATTAGTTTAAGTTACAAACCTAGATGAGTTCATTTTGAGCTACCAAGAACTGTAATACTCTATGAAAGTGCATTTAGTTTAAGTTTACAACCCATGCCAAGTTGCCATTTAACTCTAGCTCAGATCAGATATCTTATGACTTAACCCAGAAAAAATAGGAAATTAATTGCTACCCTACCTCTTGAGCGCTAGGTCTCTTGTCAGGGTCAACTTTGAGGAGATCCGAAATTAATTGCTTTGCCGACAAAGAAATGCCCTTCCAAGTTTTCTCATAGAAACTGAATTCTCCCTGCAGGAAAAAGTATTTTCTCTTGTAACCTTAACAGAATTGTTTAAAAATATATATATCATGTTAATTTCTATGTTCTAGTATAATGTGAATAGAAATGACTTACAGCCATTATCATTTGTTGCTTTTGCCGATTCGACTGAGCAATAAAAGGTGGGTACCTAAGGCATTGTACAAGAATATATACATTAAGAGTGCTCTAGAAATTTGTAGAAATTGAATATTTCATGACATTTAGAGATTGACTTGAAATTTCTCTATTCTTAAATGGGATTGCTTAAAAAACGTTGAGCAGAGTAAAGTAACTGTAGGATCCAATTAAAGTTAAACTATGCCTTAAACACTACTAATATTAGCGAACGAGAGTCCAGCACAGTGAAAAAAGCCTTGATTTGCAGATTAGTGATCTCATAATCAAACCCCAATTATATCTCGGAGTGTGTGAAAAAACCCCCCTCCCCTCTTCCTGACTTTGGCCAAAAAAAAAAAAAAAAAAAAAACACTACTAGTGTTACAGTCATCTGTTTGGTTCCCAAGAAAATAAAGAGGACAACATATGGAACAGAACATACCCAGAGAGAAGGATATACAAGATTACACCCAGAGCCCACATATCACTCTTAGAAGTGACTTGTCCCTGAGAAAGAGCCTCAGGTGAGACATAATCTATGGAACCAAACAACCCAACAACAGGATCAGTAAACTCCTCCACAGAACTGAGCCCAAAATCCATAATCTTCAAAGAAGAATCATCAGTATTATTCAAGAACAGGCAGTTCTCTGGCTTCAAGTCCCTGTGAACAATATTGGACTTGTGAAGAGCTGCTAAGCCTTGAGCAATCTGCCTTACAACAGCTGCAGCTCCAGCCTCAGAATACCTTTCTTGCTTCACAATCCTATCAAACAGTTCACCCCCAGAGCAAAGCTCCAACACAAGGTGGACCCCATTTTCATCCTCATACACATCATAGAGGTCAATGACATTTGGGTGTGGTGAGACATTTTCAACTATTCTCCTCATGACCAAGATTTCATTTGTGAGCAAGACGTTTGATATGGACACCTGCTTCCGGGCTTGGAAAGCAGCAGCAAAGCTTTTCTGATGATCACCGGCACCCGATCTGCCGGGCGGAGGGTTTGATGGTCCAAATGGCCTTTTGAGGGTCTTGATTGCCACATTGTTTTTGTCACTGCTGCCTGATTTTCTGCTGATGCCTTTTCTCACTACTGAGAATCCTCCTCTGCCTAAAATCTCTGATATCTCATACTCATCTGCCAGTCTTCTTGTTTCTTGTCCCATGACGATGACAAAAAACCCTGAAGAGATCGAACTGGCAGAAGAGGGGAGAGAGAGAGAGAGAGCGAGAGAGAGAGGGAGAGAGACCCAAGAGGGATAGAATAGAAAGAAATCGAATCTTTGAATCTGATGATGAGAAGCAGTCGCAGAGAAAATAATGTGTATAATATTGGTGAAAGGGCAAGGTGGTTTCATTGAAAAGGGAGAGAAGTTGAAACGGGCATTGGAATTACATGGATTGACATCAGCTTGTGAACAGTTGTTTAACTTGTTTAATGCATAAAATATGAGAAAAAGATTTCAAAGGGACGTGAGGGAATATATTGTAGGGGTAGGTGATGAGGAAGAAGAGACAAAGACAGAGTCAACTGTCACGCATGTGCACAGAAATAGGGTTTCTACTGTTTGTTTTGATTAATCTCTCTTGCGTGTGCAAGGAAATAGTGCTATACTCTCTCTCTCTCTCTCTCTCTCTCTCTCTCTCTCAACCCGTGGAAGGTCCTTGAAACTCAAGTAATACAACCGGGAGCTTAATTTGTTTGGATTGTAATGATGTCAAATATGCATTGTGATTGTAAAGATGTTGGGATCTTTTTACCGGGTACCTGTCAAACATGTCTTCCATGAAGCATATGGCCGCCAACGCCATGACGGGATATGTTTCTACAAATACATGGAATGTGGTTCACCACTATTATATCCATTAGCACATCTATAATTATGCTTTTATTTTTTAATTAAAATTTAGTTAAAAACACAT